GGACACGACTTGAGAGGAAAAGCTGGACTTCAACATAGATATTGGAATCACCCACAATGAGGCAGGATTCGAAACCACAGGAACAGACAGAACCACTGGGAGAGAAAAGGCAAAATGCCAGAAAAAATCTTGGTGAACAGCTATAATTAGGAGACATTGCCGTAAAAGGCAAGGAAGAGGGAATAATTAATTCCAGAGATACAAGAACCAAGGGACCACAATCACATGGCAGCCAAGGAGTAAGGTTTCTTCTTCTGCCTTTTTTTTTTTTTTTTAAAGATTTTAAGTATTCTCTACACCCATTGTGGGGCTCGAACCCATAACCCAAGAGTCGCATGCTGCACTGACTGAGCCAGCCAGGCACCCCAAGAAGTAAAGTTTTCAAAGGAAAGTATTGGTCGACATTGTTGACTGCTACAGAGATGTTAATGATTCCAAAATACTCTTGAAAATTTTAAGAACAGCAGGAACATAATGGTCATGTGCACTTACTTGGATCCCTTTTTGTCTACTCTTTGGAGGACTTTGGAAGGGAAGGAAAATATAGGTTGTCATGTTGGAGGCAATGGTAAGGTAATGGTGGGAAGGGGTCAGTGGGTAACTGAGAACATTGTGGGCAAAGAGGAAGGAGCCTAGAGAGAGGGAAAAAGGTGAGGAGCACTAATGGAAGGGGAAAACAGGAAGATGTGCAGAGGCTGAAGGTCACAATAAGGCTAAAAACCAGATTTGATAGGAGAGATGAAAATGAATACGGAGGTGGTCAGCGAACATGAGATATTGACAAAAATGGGTAATGAATTTCAAATTATCTAGCGGATAATAGACATAAAGATAAAAGTCAATACAGGTGAGAATGTTAATGCCCAGCAAACTCAACAAAAGCCATCAAGAAGGAGGAGAGCACTAAAATTCACTAAGGACGGCAGGGAAGAAATCTGGAAATTAGAGGCCAACAGAAGGAGATGGAAGTCGGCGATAGGACACTGGCCCAATGGTTAAAAATGAATTGGTAAGGGGCACATGGATGGCTCAGTCAGTTAAGCGTCTGACTTCAGCTCAGGTCATGATCCCGGGGACCAGGGATCAAGTCCCACACTGGGCTCCCTGCTCAGTGGGGAGCCTGCTTCTCCTTCTCCCCCTGCCTGCTGCTCCCCCAGCTTGTGCTCTCTGTCAAATAAATAAAATCTTTTTTAAAAATGAGCTGGTAAAACTTTAGTGGGATGAGTATAACCGAGGAAACCAGAGAGCCAACAAAGCGTGGGATAAGGGGGTGCAGGGTTGGGAGTGGGGGAGACATTCATTTTATAAAGAGATATAACTAACACAAAATCTGCTAAGGAGGTTCCAAGGCAGATTCCAAGAGGAGAGGCTAGAACAGAATCCTATTCCAGGGATCCAACAAAACAGAACTGCAGTATGACTGATGGCACATGTACATCCTTTTTTGTACCAGGCACAGGTCCATGACCCCTGCAAACTGTGGACATTCAAACAAAAGTACTGCATTCAGTGAGAACCTACAATCCCATTTTATTGCATAATAATGCATACATATGCAGATCAGAATGTGAGTTACTAAAGATGGATATAAAACATGAAAAATGATGGAGACAGGGGCATGAGAACAGCAAAAGCCAGGGTTCCCTGGGGCAAGCACGTCAGTTTCTTGATAATTTAACTCCTGACAGTTAAATGGTAAAGGCTACATATAGGGAGATAAGAGATAAACAAAAGTAGGCAGCTAGTAGTTTGGCAGAGAAGCCAAAATACTTCTTACTTTGAGAAATAAAACCAAAACCAGATTACAGAAGGCTGCATGGCCTCTGAAATTCACAAGGCCTTTGTGAGACTTCTCACACACAGAAGCACAATGACTTGTCTGGGACTCCAAAACTCCTGGTAGGTCAGACTGTAGACAGATAAACACGGGTGCCCTCATGAGATGGTATCAGGTTAGGGAAAGACCAGTGAAAATAAGTGACTTGAAGAATAAGAAAGGAGGTGGAATGGAGAGAGAGAGAAGGCAAGAGGGGCGACATGGAGGATGGGGGGAAGGGGCAGTGAGATGGGAAAGCAGGGAAGAAAAGAAAGAAACCATGAAAAGATGAAGCTGCCAAAGGCATCAGACCCTTATCTCCCTATCTCCGATTATCTTCTTATGCAAGAGCGTGACCTGCCTTATACAAAGGCAACAAACAGCAGAAAATGAGTGTTGGTGACCCCTAAATTAGTGTGAATAATATTTAAATAAGGGAACAGACTATTTCAGGAACCATGTAACATTCAGTGGTCACGTCAATTACATTTATGTCAACTCTTTCTTCTTGATCTTGGAATAATTGCTTCACGGTTAACACCAGGCAAGATATCTCTTTATCCACAGAATTGTGTGTGGAGGCTTTATTAAGCAATTAACCCAAGTAGGCAAATAAACACTCTCATGAAGCATCAAGATTAGCACGGAGAGATGTATGCGGTAGAACATACGCAGAAAAGAAAATCAGGAAGATAAAGCTTTGTACTGTGAAAACATAAGAAGTAAAAATTGCCTTATACTGAAAACTTACAGTAAAAAGGACACAATGTGAGCATGATGATGTTATACCACTTATCACTGACAGGTGCTTTATAAGCTTTTCCATGGGACCTGTATATTATGTTACTTCATATTCATTCAACCTTATGAAATGCAGAAAACGGCTATCATTGCTTTTAGTTAACAGATGAAAAGGTGAGGCTTAGAAAGGTAAAATCACTTGTCCATGGGTAAACCGTCAGTAAATAACAGACACTAGACTTGAACCTGGATTTTCTGACTCTTGGGGCAGTGGTCTGTCTCATCCTCCCACATACTCAAACACCTGGACTGAATGAGCAGTATTCCTACCCATTAGCAGAAAACTAGAAGAAATGGTATCTAAATAACACCCCCAAACGCTGGGACTCCATGATTCCACCATGCTCACTTCCCTTGAATGCCCTCGTGACAAAGAGCAACTTCATCCAATCACACACACACACACACACTGTGTGTGTGTGTGCGTGTGTGTAGGGAGCTGCCAAACCAACACTTAGGACATTAGGAGTCAATAATGAATATGAGACTAGAGCACTGAAGCCTGCTTTTCTGCATAGAAAGAGTTACCTTGCACCAAGTTCCTCTTTGCATAAAACACTGACATTTTCATGATGTTTAGGGAGCCTGCTTTTGGCTTCCAAAAGCTCTGGCGCCATACCATGCCATCACTGTAACTGCCCTCCAGTGGGCCATGAAAAGCCCAGCTAGAACATTTTGAATATAGCAGTTTGCTTGCCACCAAAACACTAAGTTGCAATATTTTATATTTATCTCTATTTAAATTTTAGTGATGCTACATAAATGTTAACATGGTCTCATGCTAAAACAACCACGGATAAGTCTTAATAACACCACATACTGGCACACCCCTGGGTGAGTTATGGCCTGCTACACAGGCCTAATGCATGCTTCTCAAGTTACTTAGTCTTCTTTAAATAAGATGTGACACAAGATGTTACACAGTTTACCCCAAGAAATGTGTTTCCAGAAGCAGTGGCAAGGGACATGTAGGATAATTTGCTCATATTGAAAGTGGAAAGAAGGTACTTGGGATTATAGGAAAGAATTCCAAAAAGAGTTTGGGGAGAGAGGTTAATAATGTTTGATTTAGTTATTTCATGGCTTGAGAAACAAAAAGTGAGCTTCCATAAGTTCTCAAGCCTCTGAAGCTGTAAGGATAAGACCCTGGACTTCTCTCTAGGGCTGAAATCACAGCGACCTATGACAAACTCAGATTCTCCACCCTTCCAGTAGAGGCACACGCAAACATCTCCTTGGGCTTCCTGAGAGACTGTCTGGGTCTGGTAGGTGAGACCAAGGGAGGCAGAGTGCCCTGGAAGCCAAAGCCTACACTGTCAAAAATACAACCACAGGAGAACCAGGGCTTGAAGGTCTAAGCAGGTCCTGCAGGGTGCTCAGCTTCCCTCAGGAAACAATTCTTCCAGCCTTACCAGCTCTGCCCCTCAATTTACTAAGAAAAGACCCAGCAGCCTTTCACAGTGAGGAGACATCAGTCTGAGATTCTGGTTAATAACAATAAGCAAGGATGAAAGGCAAAGGAAATCTTTTCAAAAATGAGCCTACAATGGCAGAAATGTTTACAATAGCCTTTCTCCTGCAACATCTTAATCCCTGCACCCTAGCAGAGCAACCCCTAATAGCTACTACCCATGCCTTTGCACCAAGAATCAGAATACTGGTTCCTCTTTTAGAAGCACAAATAGTCCTAAGAACAGATTTTCAAAAATGGAAGGAACTGTGGCTCCAATGGACCAACTGCAGCTTGAAGACATCTTGACTTTTTTAGTGTTATGATGTGGTGCCCACACATCTTTCTGCATCCACTCTTAAGAGATGCTGTGTCCCCATTCCTCTTGCCTTATCACTCTTCTAGCATAAGCCAGACTAACTGAAATTTAAACAAATCCCAACCCAAAGAGTACAATAACCTGAATGCATGTTGATTGGTACCAGACAATAAGGAGAAGGCATATTCCCCCCAAAAGGCCCTCCTCAGTCAGGTTCAACATTTATTCATCACCAGATGTAGTTTCATTGCAAAAGGATCAACTCTTAGAGTTCATTCCCTTCCACTCAACCAGCCATGGGTGGTCTAACTTTTTATTAGCTTTGAATGCAACAGAGAATGTGACCTAAAATACATTATTATATGTCTGTAAGATGAGAGGGAACAGAGAGTCACACATGGTAACAACATGGTGAAAATTCTTATCTACTTGGAATAAGGGCAGAATCAAATTCTTACCCTAGTTTCACTAGGATTACAATGAAATGTGTATAGGGATGTGCAAGAGTTCAAGTGTAACCTTCTTCCAGGCCAATCGGGCCAAAAGTAAAGCTAGACTTCACCTGAAGGGCCCTAACAATCCTGGCCAATGGGATGTCCATCCATGCTGCTTACCTGGAAAAGGCAGCCCCCAGCACAAACGCAGCATACTCCTTCACCAGGGGCTCTGTGCTGTTCAGCCCATTGATCACCACTTGAAGGCCGCCAAAGGAAAGCAGGTCCTGTGCATTATCCATCTGCAACAAAGGTACAGCCATCAAGGAAAGAAGAGCCCTTCTTACTGCCTTTTTTTGGTGAGTATTCAAAAAAACCTAAAAAGTCAAGTAAAAAGCAATGGTGGTGGCCATTGTGACCAACTAGAAAAGATCTGTAATAACAAATTCTTAAATTTGAGATTTCCGAATTCATCTAACATGATTTATGAGCACCTGTGTGGGAAATGGCTGAAATGGCACCTAGCTATTACTTTTGCCAAATATATCCTGGAAAATGCTATAACCATAACAAATCACAAAGCTTGCTCCTAATGTACAAGCTGTTAACACAAAGATCTGGCATCATCAGGACTACTAAATGGTGCCATGCTTCCTGTTCATGTCCAGTCCCAGTACAAGTAATGGAAGCAGCAGACACTTACAAAAAAAGAAGTCCTCTCTCTTCCTCACTTCATACAGTCTAAGGCTGACTGATTCTGAGGACAAGTGTGATAAAATCTGCACAGAAGTCTCTCCCTCAAAGGCTGTACTCTAGGCCTGTGTTACTGGCTAGTAGCTATTATTGGATAGTGCATAACATTTCCATAATCAAATAAAATTCTATCAAATGGCACTGGTCTAGGCTACCCTTTAAGGTCCAAAGCCCCAAGTCTAGACTATTTCCCTTTTATTCGATAGGGAATCTCAGTCCCCAGGCTTCCTTAGTATCCTGGAACAAGAAAACCCAACTTGTTCAGAAAGGTCACTGGAGGGGTGCCTGGGTGGCTCATTCGTTGGGCGTCTGCCTTCGGCTCAGGTCATGATCCCAGGGTCCTGGGATCGAGCCCCGGCATCGGGCTCCCTGCTCGACGGGAAGCCTGCTTCTCCCTCTCCCACTCCCCCTGCTTGTGTTCCCTCTCTCACTGTCTCTCTCTGTCAAAATAAATAAATAAAATATTAAAAAAAAGAAAGGTCACTGGATCCTATTTTCTCCATGTAGTAACTACAATCTCCCTTGGAAATACCTTTGTTGCTACAAAGACTGCCTCTTGCCCACAGTCTGATCCCACTCTACAAATCATCAGGAAAATGCAGGAAGCTAGCCCAACACCTTTTTCCTCCAGATGCTTCTGTTTCCTACCTGACTGTGTCCTTCCAAACTAGACAAAGACTCTAAGAGAGAAATTGAGTTTGAAGGACTTTGACTCTGCCTTTTCCTGGGTAGACCTAGACTGTTTTCACCACTTAGAAGATCATTTTTATATATTCTGATATAATCTCCATAAGAACAGGGTTTTTTTCTGCCTGACCATTGCTGCAGATCCAGTGATTAGAACAATGCTGAGTGTATACTTAGGTGCTCAATAAGTAACTGTTAAACCAATGAACAAATATGATCAGAAAAAAACGTTACTGAAATAAACTCCACGGTGAGTAAAAAAGGCAACCCGCGGCATCTGTGCCAACAAAATGGATGGGTCCCTGATACCAGAGACCTAAAGAGATGGCCAATCCAGGGTCCTGAAACAAGTGTGGAGTCTGCTCTGCCATAAGGGCCCCCAAGTCAGGGCTGGGATTTTTCTTCCTCAATCTGTCCTTACGAAGAGGAGTTATTACTGGACCATAGGCCAGCCAACTAGGGAGACTCAGAGCGGGGTGTTTGGCTGATGTAAGTACAAATAATACTTCATAAGCCTTCCTTTCTCACGTACTCTAGTTTTTGTTTTTGTTTTTTTTTAAGATTTTATTTATTTGACAGAGAGAGAGACAGCGAGAGAGGGAACACAAGCAGGGGGAGTGGGAGAGGGAGAAGCAGGCTTCCTGCTGAGCAAGGAGCCAGATGTGGGACTCGATCCCAGGACCCCGGGATCATGACCTGAGCCCAAGGCAGACGCTTAACGACTGAGCCACCCAGGCGCCCTCACACACTCTAGTTCTAAAATCTAAGAACTCACTGCCTCTTTTTGATTCTCCCCCCTTCCAAGTTTTCTGGATAACAAAGCCATGGCTCAGAGTCCTGTCATTCAGTGCCTGGGGTGGCTACTTGTCAAAGCTGGTAGGAGTTCCTAATGGAGTGGCTGCCAGTCTAACAGCCCCAAAGCAACACAAAGTCATAGAGGTTCTGTTGCAGATGTAGTTTGTCTTTATTACTACAAAGACAATTCAGGATGTTATAAATTCTAACATTTACATAAGCACCTCAACCTTTTCAATATGTTTTCTCATTTGTTATTTCACTGAAGATGAGGAAGAAAAGAGTCATTCTGCCCACTGTACACTCAGAAGATCAAGCTCCAAAATCTGGGCCCTGCTCAGCATCACACAGGAGAAGGCATGATCAGGTCCCAGGTCTGCAGCTCCACATCTAGGTCTGGGGCCACAGCTTTCCCCAGGCTGCCTTCAGGATGGGGTGAGACAGGTAGACAGAAACTCAAGGCAGAGGGAGGGAGCACATGGGGAAGGACATAGTAGGAACTGTGCTAACACTCCAGAGGAAAAGAGAGAACCAGAGCACTGGCCAGACAATCAGAGAACAGGAAATAGACAAAGGGAGAAACTATATTAAATAATTGAGGAGACATTTGAAGAAAGGCAAACACACTGCCCTAGGGTACATGGGACAGACAGAAGCTACACCTCATAAGTAATTCACAACCGTTTTCCAAACGGTTCGAGGTTTTGCTTTTCATAGATCCTGTTTAATAATTCCAATATGGCTGGGGCGCCTGGATGGCTCTGTCGATTAAGCGTCTGACTTTTGGTATCAGCTCAGGTCATGATCTCAGGGTTGTGGGAGCGAGCCCCACATCAGGCTCTGTGCTCAGCGAGGAGTGCGCTTGAGATGCTCTCTCCCTCTGCCTCTCACCCCTCCCACATGCACGTGCATGCTCTCTCTAAAAAAATTAATCTTTATAAAAATATAGAAATGTATGAATTCCAATATGGCTGTGAGGAATCCTTGGTCAGATTTAGTTTGGGTCTTTGAACCCCATGGCTCCTCAAAGCTTCTATTCAGTGAGTCGAGAACAGCAGTGGACTGGTGAAGTTCCTGGCAACAGAAGTCCTATCTTCCACAATGCTAGCACTAAATTACCTGAATTCCCCTTCACAACTAGAATTAAAGGTTAAGCTGTGTTTTCTTTAATTCCCCCATGAAATCACAACTCAACCTGTTGCATGATAGCCTGACATACCAGCCCAAAGCAAGGACCTTGTACTTCCAATCCAAAGGCCAATGACTCAGAACGTTTATGACTCTTCTGCCGAAGAGAGCAAGTTTGGCCTCACCAGGGAACCGGTTCCTGGTCTGACCTGGGACTGAGTTAGGTGATGTCGAAGAAAGTGTTTACCCCACCCAGTAACTCATGAAAGCAGAATAGGACGTCACCCTAGAGACAACACCGCCAGATAACCGGCTGACTTGCATGGAAAAAAAACAATTTTGTCAGGGCCCTGCTAGCCTCCTGTGTACTCACTCCCCTCTAAGTATGATCAGCTCTCCAGTTATTTTGGCCTTTTATGCTCAACTAAAGGAAGAGTCTGTAGAGACCTGATACCTAAAGATCCACCCAAGTATGTTAAATGAGAAAAAATAAAAGCTGCCAAGATCAGAGCAGGACTAAGTTGGCCAATAACCTCTAAGATCCTTAATCCTTTAAATATCTGTAACGGAAAAGCTGTTGGAATTCTTGTTTTTCACCCTGGAGAGAAACACAGGAAAGAGGAAAGAGAACTCAGGCCCACTTTCTCTCTAAGAGGATCATAGACCTGCTATTTGAGTCCTGAGAAAGAGTTATGAGCAAAGAAAGAAGATGAAGAGGCTGCATCATAATTCCTGCAGATACAGTATACACTCATCCTCTCTCACCACAAAGGCTGACAAAATCAGAAAGAAAGAAAGAAAGAATGTCTTTTAGCCTAGTTTATAGAGAACAAGGACGCAGTCATGTGTGGGAGGATGTTGAAGATCTGTGTCTTGATGAGGATCTCAAACAAGCTTTTGATTATGATTACACAGTCTTCCTGGGCCACCATCGTCCCTAGTCTGAATTACGGCAATAACCTCCTATCTGGTTTCCGTGCTTCTACCCACACCCCCTGCCTCCATTCTAATTCTCAACAAAGCAGGTGGAGGGATCCTTTAAAAGTAAGTCAGAGCATGTTGTTCTTCTGCTCAACAGCCTTTAATAACATCCAGTTTCATATTCTTTTCCATGCTCGACAAGGCGGTCTATGATCTTCCCCCCATTATCTGTCTAAGCTTCATCTACGTCCCTCTCTCTTCTTTTAGCTCCAACCACACACTGACTTGTTCTGAACCCACAAACACACTAGACATGCTCCCACCTTAGGGCTTTAGTACTTGTTGTTTCTCCTGAGATGCTCCTTTCCAATATTGCCAGTCCTTACCATGAACTACTTTTTATTTGCCCACAGTATTTATCAACTTAAAACACACCGTCCATAATTTAGTTATTAGTTATATTTATTATCTATCTGCCTCCGCTAGAAGCTAAGCTCCAATTTTGTTCACAGATGTATTTTAAGTGCCTGAAATAGCTCTTGGGACTTAACAGGCATGCAATAAATTTATTGAATAAATAAACGACTTCTCTTGCTCCTTCTCCTTAGATCTACCTATGTCTTTTTGAGCTTCATTCAAACGATTCCAGTATCCTAGAGGAGACAGAATGACCAAAAGGTTAAGAGCACAGTTTAGGGTCAGATAGTCCTTTTTGCAAATCCCAGCTCTACCACTCGCTAACTGGGTGACCTTGGGCAATATCAGGTCTGACCTGTGTCTTATTTGCCTCAGTGATAAAATGGAACTAGTAACAAGGCCCATAAGGCAGCTGTGGAATTCAATGAATTGGTATGTATAAAGCACTTGACTAAGTGCCTTGTCTATGATAATACTCAATAAGTATTAACTATGATAATTACAGCACAAGTGTGATCAGTCCTTTCCCTGCTGCAAACTCTCCAATGGTTCTTAAAATCAAGGATAAAATCATAAAGAGCATGATATTCCCAATTCCACCTCTCTGAATCTCTAACCTTTCCACTTTATCTATGCTACCCTATCCAGTATTTTCCAGGCCCTTAATCTCTCCAAGCTCTTCTCAACCTCAAAATCTTTGCACATGCTGTTTCCTCTGCCTGTGGAACTCTGATTCAAGGGCTGGCAAACTTTTTCCATAGGGCCTGACGGTAATGATTTTGGCTTTGTGAGCCATAGGGTTTCTGTCACAACTCTTCAACCCCTCACTGTAGCATAAAAACAGCCCAAACAATAGAACAATACATAAAGAAACAGATGCGGCTGTGTCCCAATAAAACTTTATCTAGAAAAGCCTTCCCCAACACCCCTGACTAGGCTAAGTTCCCCCGTTATATACTCCCACACTACTCTCTGGAGCCCTTATCACAATCTTAAGTTTAAATTATCTCATTTTTTTGTTCATTGTTCATGATTTAATTGTTCCCTCTTCCAGACTATAAGCTACATAAAACAGAGACCATGGCTGTTTTGCCCCTGCTGTATAATAGGTGTTGAAAAATAATGGACATAACACTGCAAATGAAAAAGAGGTTGGCCCTTTCTTCTAGAATATATCTTACTACAATAGCTATTGGCCTAGGTTAAAAATACTAGATGCCCTGAGAGAGGAGCAAAGATGCTGATGATGTTTTCTCAGGATTTAGGGCAGGAAGGTTTGCTGTTGAAGATGTTACTTAAAAGTCAGATTTATGGACAAAGAAATACGATACCTGATGGACATAATATTCAAGATCAAAGAGTGCAGCAATCTTCTCTTCTAGGCTGGAGCTGGAACTGTTGAACTTGTTGATCAACCGTACCATGATCTGCATGTCAGTCTCAATGACAACATTCAGCTCCTCAAACTCCTTCTTTAGTTCCTCAATGGGGCGAAAGAGTCGTTTAACCTTGGCCTGCCTTGCCTAAGAAGATAATTGAAGCAAAAAGATAATTAGATCAATTGGAGACATCTCTCCAAGACAGTTGTCGCCTATCATGGATGCCCATTGTCAAGGAATTACTGCTCCAGGATTCAAAACCTTCTTTCATCTGTACTATCAAAAAATCCTCCTACAAGAATACCTCAATTTATTGCACTTCACTTTGTCAAACTTAGAGCTGTTACTTCTTCTTCTTCTTTTTTTTTTTTACAAATTGGAGGTTTGTGGCAACCAGCATTTAGCTATTCTATCAGCCATTTTTCCAACAGCATTTGCTCACTCTGTGTCTGTGTGTCACATTTCGGTAATTCTTGCAATATTTTGAACTTTTTCATTATTATATTTGTCCTGGTGATCTATGATCAGTGGTATTTGATATTACTATTGTAGTTGTTTTGGTGTGCCACAAGCCACACCAAAACTTAACTGATAAATGTTTTGTGTATTCTGACTGCATCGCTGATAGGCAATTCCCCCATCTCTCTCCTTCTTCTTGGGCCTGCCTGTTTCCTGAGACAATGATTTTGAAATTAGGCCAATTAATAACCCTACAATGGCCTCTTAAGTATTCAAGTGAAAGGAAGAGTCTCATGTCTCATTTTAAATCAAAAGCTAGAAATGACTAGGCTTAGTGAGGATGGCATGTCAAAAGCTGGGATAACTAAAAGACAGGCCTCTTGTGCCAAACAGTTAGCCAAGTTGTGAATGCAAAGAGTTCCTGATGGAAAGTGAAAGTGCTATTCCAGTGAACACACAAACTGTAAGAAAGCAACACAGTCGTATTGCTGATGCGGAGAAAGTTTTAGTGGTCTGGATAGAAGGTCAAACCAGCCACAGCATTTCCTTAAACCAAAAAGCCTAATCCAGAGCAAGGTCCTAAAATCTCTTTAATTCTATGAAAGCTGAAAGAGATAAGGAACCTGCAGAAGAAAAGTCTGAAGCTAGCAGAGGTTGGTTCATGAGGTTTAAGAAAACAAGCCATCTCCGTAACATAAAAGTGCCAGGTGAAGCAGCAAGTGCTTATATAGAAGCTGCAGCAAGTTATCTGGAAGATCTAGCTAATTCGTGAAAGTGGCTAGACTCAGCAACAGGTTTTCAGTGTAGACAAAATACCCCTCTATTGGAAGAAGATGCCATCTAGGACTTCCATAGCTAGAGGAGGAGAAGTCAATGCCTGGCTTCAAAGCACGGGCTGATTTTCTCGTTAGGGGCTAATGCAGCTGCTGACTTTAGGTTGAAACCATTGTTTATTTGCTACTCCAAAAATCCTAGGGCCCATAAGAATTAAGCTAAATCTACTTGGCCTGTCCTCTATAAATGGAACAAAAAAGCCTGGATGACAACATGTCTATTTACAACATGGTTTACTGAATATGTTAAGACAAACATTGAGACCTACCGTCAGAAAGAAAAAATTCCTTTCAAAGTATTACTGCTTATGGACAACGCACCTGGTCACCCAAGAGCTCTGAGAGATGTACAACAAGATTAATGTTGTTTTCATGCTTGCTAACATATCTATTCTGCAGCCCATGGATCAAGAAGTCATGTTGACTTCCAAGTCTTAATTATAATAATAAGAAAATACATTTGGTAAGGCTACAGTTGCCACAGATAGTGACTCCTTTAATGGATTTAGGCAAAGTAAACTGAAAACCTGTTGCAAAGTATTCCCATTCTAGATCCCATTAAGAACATGATGGGAAGAAGTCAAACTATCAACATGAACAGGAGTTTGGAAGAAGTCAGTTCTAACATTCATGGATGACTGTGACGAGTTCAAGTTTTCAGTGGGGGAAATAAGTGCAGATGAGGTAGAAATATCAAGAGAATTAGAAGTGGAGCCTGAGGATGTGACTGAACTGTTGCAGCATGATAAAACTTTAATGAATGAAAAGTTGCTTCTTCTGGATGAGCAAAGAAAGTAGTTTCCTGAAATGGAATCTACTCCTGGTGAACATGCTGTGAAGACTGCTGAAATGACAACAAAGGATTTAGAATACTACATAAACTCAGTTGATAAAGCAGTCAAAGGGTTTGAGAGAATTGACTCCCATTTTGAGAGAAGTTCTATTGTGGTATAATGTTATCAAACAGCATCACATGCTGCAGAGAAACTGTTCATGAAATTGTTCAATGTGGCAAACTTCATTGCTTTCTTATTTTAAGAAATCGCCACAGCCACCTTAATGTTCAGCAACCACCACCCTCATCAGTCAAGCAGCCATCAACATTGAGACAAGACCCTCCACAAGCAAAAGGATTACAATTCACTAAAAGCTCAAGGTGGTTAGCATTTTTTAGCAATAAAGTACTTTTTGAATTAAGGTATGTATATTGTTTTTTAGACATAATGCTATTGCACATTTAGTAGACTGCAGTACAGAGTAAACATAACTCTTACATGCACTGGGAAACCAAAAAAGTAATCTGACTTGATTTATTGCAGTGGTCTAGAACCAAACCCACACCGTCTTCAAAGCATACCTGCACCTTCTAAGACGCCCACAGAAGAGAGCCCTCAGAGTCTATCTATATAGACCTCTGCCCCAAAAACACACTCAAGATTTTCCAGGTTCACTTATCCCAATCTGACTTCTAATGTTCAAGAAGAATGGAAAGTCTTCTTGCTGCCATCACTGAGGTCAGGGGAAGCAATGCAAGCTCACCTTCAATCCCTAAACTCCGTTGAAAAGGCTGAGGTCTAAGGTGGAATAATCCACACCTTGGTTCTGTATCTTCTACAATCATTTACTATCTTTGCTGTGCCCTGCCCAATCCAGCAACATTTTAGGGAAACCCAGATGTAGGAAACTGTGGGTAAAGAGCTATCAGAGTGGGAGCAATTTGCTGATGAAAATTAAATCACTCTCATTACTGTCAAACTAACTACAGGTGTACAATTTGTTCAACTGTTTGAAGTGGCTAAATTACTGTATGTACTATACTCAAGTCTCAATTTTCTCTCAATCCTTCTCCACCCCACACACATACAAAAATTTAAAAAATGAAGTTATGTTGGAGGTGAATAAAAGACTTCAATTAGATATTTTATACATGTGACACTCCCATTTTCTTCCCAATTTTAGAGGACAGTGCTTATAAATAGAGTCCAAAAGGTCACAGTGGTTTGTGTCTCTATCTTCCAAGAAAAATTAAAAGGCAGGAATATTTATAAAAAGCAGAATGATGAGCAGCTGTCAGCTCCAAATTGCTCATCTATTACCTATGGATTTTCTCCCCAGTTACAAGTACTCCATAGAAACACCAACCAAAGAAATGAATCAGCCTCTCTTAAAAAAGACCAAGCCCCTAGCAGAGCAATGCTACCTATGGGATACCATTTCCTGCTTCTTCAGGCTAAAACAACAGTGAAATGCTCTCCCTACACCCAGCTAAAGGACTCTGGATGGCCGCCAAAGGCAGGGCAAAGAGGTCTGGGGAAGCTGAGTTACTGCCTAGAGCTGTGGGATGTCAGGCAAGTGAGCAGGATAAGAAATAAGTCACCTCCACCTCACGAAAATGATGTGTACCTGGCCCTCAGGAAGAGGGCCTATTTTAAGAAAAAAAAAAAAAAAAACTTTTTATTTTGCAATAATTATAAACTCACAGAAAGTTACAAAAATAATACACAGAGTACCATGTACCCTTGGTTCAGCTTCCCCCAATGGCAACATCTTACGTTAACAGTACACTAACAAAACCAAGAAAATGACAAAGGTATAATGCTGTTAACTAGACTATAAGCCTTACTCAGATTTTATCAGCTTTTACATGTACACATTTGCACGTATATGTGTGTATATTATTCTATACAATTTTATCCAATATATATATTCATGTATCCACCAGAACAATCAGGCTACTGAACTATTCCACCACCACCAAACTCCACTGGGCGATCCCTTTACAGCGCACCTCACCCTCCCACCCATCCCTTTGTCCTGGCAATCACTACTTTGTTCTCCATCTCCTTAATTCTGGCATTTAGATAATGTTATAAAGATGGAATAACAAGGTCTGTAATCTTTTGAGATAGTATTTTTATATGAACATAATGCACTTGAGATCTATCCAAGTTACCACATGCATCAATGGTTCATTTATTTTTAATGCTGAGTAGTACTGCATTATACAGATGTACAGTTTGCTTAACCATTCACCTGTTGAACATTTGAGTTGTTTCCAGGTGTTGACTATTATGAACATAAATATTTGTATAAGGGTTTTTATATAAATTCAAGTTCTTATTTCTCTGGCAATAAATACCCACAAGTACAACTGCTGGGTCATATGACAAACGTGTTTGGTTTTATAAGAAACTGCCTATTTTCCATGGTGACTGTACCATTTTACATACTCACCAACAATGTATGAAACACTCAGTTTCTCCACATCCTCACTAGTATTTAGTATTATCACCACTTTTGTTTTAGGTATTTTAATAGATGTATAGTGATAGTTCATTGTGGATTTAATTTGCATTTCTCCAAAGGCTAAAGACATTAAACATCTTTTCGGGTGGTTATTTGCCATCGACAAATCATCTTCGGTGAATTATCTGTTTGTTCACTTCCTTTCCCCATTCTCTAAATATGTTGTCACTTTTTACTGTTGAGCTTTCAGAGTTCTTTATATTCTAGATACAAGTCTTTAATCAGATACAGTCTTTGCTTTGCACAGATCTTACATGCACCAAGTTCAAATACTATAGTTTCAATAACACCATTCTCCCAACACTACTGAAATTTCAGTTACCACAAATTTCATTTAACAGTAATCACATGAAGTACAAACTTTGTTGCTGGCTCTTTAGTCCACAACTCACTACATATAACATAAATGCTCATGATGATGAGTGGGTGATCATACCACTTCTTCCTAGGTCTGTCTGACAGGTCACTAAAAATTCGTTTCTCCGTTCACACACAGATGTCAAGTGTGTAGTTGTAGGACTTCCTCATCTTCCAATGACAAGCCCA